GTGGTTTCCTGTTTGAAATTGGACTATGTAAATGTATTGTCTCACATTATATAATTAATGCTGCCTAAGATGTGTGGTGTGGGGAGGGGAGAGAAATGAAGGCAAATTACCTTTATTTTATTATTGTTTTGATGAAAATGCCTCTTTGCACTGGAATACAAAAATAAACCAAAAATGTCATAAATGTTTAATAATAATATATAATTGCCTTTAAAAGGTAGGGGTACAAATTTCCCTTCCTTTTTCATAGTACTTTTATTAATGAGATTAGTATTTGCTAATAGTAATAGCACAACAATTGTAATACTTTACAATGGTAATAGCACTAGTAGCAAATACTAATCACAACAATAGTTTTCTTGTGGGCTCTATGTTTCTCATCATTCTTGTTCATAGACAAGTTACTTAGAACCCCCTTTTCATGTACTCGGACTCGAAATGAAGCATTTCTTTAGTTATTGGAGATCAAATCAGCCTCCCACAATGTCCCATAGCACATCTCTGTCGTGTATTGGAAACATTTTTCTATGATAATTGCAGAAATAATGATATCATCATTGGGAGATGTTCCCAATACACGGTGGGGATGTGCAGTTATTGAATATTGAGTATGAAAAGTAATGATCATGGGGAGTGTTCATGAGTAATTCATCAAAATATGTGTGTTAGTTTATTAAATCTTCTAAGGCTGCATTTGACATTCCTTATTTTAAGGATCCTTGGTCTCCATAATAAATGCCAGTTTAAACGTTTTCTATGTTTGTTGTTTGGTTGGGATTAAAGTGGGTGTTTCAAGAAACAACGTTTAAAGGTAATTGCCAACTCAGCAAAGATAAACGTTTCCTCAACTTCTTGTTGATTCGGTGTGGCACCTTTCCTTGGTATTTGGGTGCCATTAAATCGATCCAAATGTCCAAACTACACTTGCATATTTTGAGATCCAACAATTGATTTTGGATGAAAATCACATCCAACGGTCCAAACACTGAGGGTCATCGACAGCGGAAAGAAAAGCCCATAAGGTTTATTCACGGGGGAGATTTGTGTAAAAGTAATAGATATGCAAAAACAAAAAGAAAATGTGAACACCAGTGACAACAAAAATAATACAAGGTTTCAGGTTGACAGTAGTCTTACCAACGACAAAACAATGGCGGTAAGTCTCTCCAAATGTCGTGAACAACAGCGACAGTTCTCTTTGCATTAGGGTGAAAAGGATTATGGTGAAGCATGGGGATCAACTTACTAGAACCACCACATCAGCATCCATGTCAACGCCACATCAGCAAAAGGTTTTGAGAAACACCATGCCATTGGGGGAAGCGAGAATTTGTCGCTACCTCCAAAGGCTCCGGAGACACAAATCTATGCATTTCAGTTTCTTACTGTTTTTTCAATAAACAAGTGAATCAAACAGTAATCCAACCCTCAACAAACGCAAGGAACCAAACACACGCATTATCTTCACCAAACGCGTTTGTTAATTAAGCGATTAATGGGTTGGTAATAAGGAAGGAACGAAAGAAAAGCATAAAAGGAAGGCACGGTTCATACCATGGTAGGATGTTACTGGAAAAGAGAGAAAGGGTGTGTGTGTGAAGAAAGTCCAAATGCATGGAGAGATCGAGATACGTGGATTTTAGGGATCAACACATGGATGGATAGTCCAACCCCGTCTCTCATGAAACGTGAGCAGATTGTATTCTTTTGTTTTTACGCAGAGGAATCAATAATCAATTCATCTCTGCACACTCTTCACTGGTCACTGTTCAGTGGTGGAGACTGGAGAGGAACCCGACTGTCTAGCACTACAACGCGGCAAATCGGAGAAGCAGGCCGTGACCGTGGTATATAATGCCATTGCCATCCTCCTTCCACCTTGTCACTTGCAACACAACAGACCAACACCCTTTCGAGTTTCGATATACATTCAAGATTATCGAAACCCACAAAATACGGTGGCAGCGTATGGATGGTAATTAAATTTCCTTTTCCTTTTTCAACCCTAACTGCCTTTTCAGCTTTTCTTTCTGTTAAACCAGACCAACCCATTTCCTATCAATTGGCCGCGTAAAACCGTCGCCTTTTATAGTCCCAATACATGCATTTTTAATTATGATCTCATTTTCGTCAATCGTCATTTTACGTGGTCAACTTGCCACCCTTACCTTACCAGTTAGTTTCCATCTCCGTAGGGAGGGAAATAAAGAGATGCATGAATATATCCCTCACAGTAAGTCATTTATATTTAGAAACAAAATAAATATGTTCGTTATGTATAAATTTATATTTACAAACAAAATAAATGTTTGGTATAATCCCTTTTAATATCTATACACTATATATATATATATAAAAGAATACATTCTATCATAATATATATATATATATATTTTTTTCCATTTTAGGATAAATTACAAAGGACCCTGTGCTATGGAGTCATTGACAATTATCTCTTGAATTTTCATTTTCATCAAAAACCCCTCTCTAAACTTTCACTTTGTGGTATATACCCCTGACCGTTAAATTAGATGACGTAATGCTTTAAATTAATTATAAAAATACTTGTATAAACTTTCCCTAATCCTAATTGACTAAAACAACTTCTATTTGCTCCAAACAAAACCAGCTAAAAAATAACAAGAATTATTTTATTGACATAGAAAAACAAGTTTTTTTTCCCTAAAATTCTTGTTTCATTTAGCTTACACGAATGTCTCTCTTCATCTTAAAATATAAAAATTATCATATTTTCTGTAATAAATTAAGAAAAACCAAATGAAATCATAAATTTATATATATAAAAAAGAAACCTCCATCATTTTTGTTTGAATATTGAATCTAGCTAGAAATTTACAAAAATCTACTGGAGGAAAAAATAATAATAAAATCATACATGTTCAAATAAATATGAAAAGGGTAGTTTGGATATTTAAGAAATTTTAAACAACTGAATAGGATTTTTTTCAAAGTCGACTATTGAAACTTTTATGAAGGGGGGTATTTGTTGCAAAGTAAAAGTTCAAGATATCTTATTACAAGTGAAAATTCGAGGTGTAATTTGTCATTAATCCCATAGTACAGGGGTGTCTATAATTTACTCTTTTCAGTATTCTAGTTGCTTTGAAACTAGTAATAAATAATAATAAAATCAAAACATCTAATATTGCTCTTTGAACCAAAACCTGAATTGAATTAAAAAAAAGTAGTTGGAATTATGAAATGCGCAAGTGTAATTAATGTATTCTATTATGGAATGCAATAATGAAATAAAAAAGATCATTTATTTACACCCCTTCTTGTTTTATATATTTACTAAAATCAAATTTACACCTCTCTATTATTAAAAGATCCCCATAATTTATAATAACTTGATCAAATTTTTGTCAGGAATACTTTTAATTTGCATATGGAAATGGTCATGTGACATCTTAAAAAAAGTAGAAAATGTAAAAAGGCTTGAGTCGCGGGTTGTTTATTCTAAAAATACCCCTAATTCTTTTTTATCAACATTTTCTAGAAAACAAAACCCATCCCCAACATTATTTCTTGATATGGATTAGGCATAGAATGCATGTAATATAAGAACTATTGGGGGTATTTTCATAATAAAAATCTTTAACCCATGCCTTTTTACATTTTCACTTGTTTTAAAAAGTCACTCACCCTTACAGATACAAATTTATAAATGGAAAGTTGATTAATTAGTGCACAAACCCTAAGGGTGTGTTTAATAAAGGGTGAGCAAATGGATAGGTTCTACATATGACCAAATGTAACTAACCTCGAACCCCTACCCAATTTGTTATAAGGTAGGGGTCTTGTCCCAATTTGTTACAAAGTAGGGTCTAGTTTCAAATTCTTGGAACCAACCCCCATCTAGGCTGGTTCCAGGGTCTAAGGGTTTACCCTACCTCAAGTTGACTCGATGAACCAACTTTGATTTGCCTTGGTGGAACTGGCCTAGTGGAACCGGCATTGAAATCGAATTTGTTTTGAAATAAACCCCAAAATACTTTTGAGGATGTAAATATTTAAACCTAAGCACTCATGGTTACAAAGGCTATGGTCTCACTTGACCATTGAATTAAGTGATTTGATCATTTGCTTTCATTTTAATATTTGAATGTATATAAAAAGTAATGTAAAAGTTAATATTTACAAAATTTAAATTATAATGATAAGTTTTGAACAATACATTAATATATCATGATAATCTATATATTAAATTACTCAATTTCATCAATAAAATTAGTGTAAGTTTTATACTATTGAAAGTCAAATTTTTATAAGAATATGTTTCATATTCTCAAATTTTTATAAGTTTTGATTCTAAAAACTTGAAACCAACCTCTATATAATAGGTTTCAGGTTTTTCCGTAGAACTAAACCGACCTATACTCACCCCCCTACTATACAAACCGGAGAGTGGTTCTTGTTTTTTCAGATAAAAATTAGGGGTGTACAAGTAAATAATCAAGAAAATGTAGAATAAATTGGAGAGGCAAATAAGAGGTAGAGTTTTTTTGCTTGATTCTTTATAGGATGAATTCGTAGGTAGAGCAGAGCAGATCTTGTACTCGTCTTCTGAAGGTAACACATCATAAATATTGGCGCGTATTTAACAAAAAAAGAGGGGCCACTGTTTGAATATATGGAAAGGTGCGGGGTGATATGGGTAATTCCACTTTTTAACCTGGTGCATTTTAGTTTACTGGGACGAGGCGCGGAGGCTCGGGACCGAGCCTGGGGGCGGCTAAAAAAGTAACTAGGTTCGGAGGGAGTTTCGTCCGTTAGTGGGGCCCACCATTAGCGGCTGTAGCGTGCCGCATAGTGCAAACATCCACGTGGCGTTGACAGAGAAACTGGAGCTGTCAATTCATTATAGCAAATACGTGGGACCCACATGCGCTCGCGGTAAATGAACGAAGAAGGAAGAAATTCATTCAGGGGAGGTGGTAGATGGGCTGACGGGGGTGGGGTGGGGTGGGGTGTGGAAGCCCAGAACCAAATAATCCGTTATAAATAGAGAGTTTCCCCTCGGCTGTGGAGACGAAGAGCAGGTTGTCGGTTGAGGGGAGGAGTCTCTCGCTCTCCTGCTTTCAAGCTCTTTTTATTTCTTTGTTATTATATTCTTGAATTTTGAGGCAACCATTTTCATTCTCATTTTCATTTTCATTTTCAACTCGTCGAAGAAACCAAACTTCTGCATATTTGGTCTAACATCGGTACCAAGCGATAGATCAGCATCTTTTCAGGGTGATCTCAGCAGAATTGGCGATGAAAGCTCAAGTTCTACATTTGAAAACCGTTCAGATCTGATAAACTAATCTGGTCCTTTAAAGTTTTAACTGCTTCAAAGATTTCTGTGGTTTGCTGAGCTAAATACTTTTGTTGTATCGTGAATACCAGGGAAGAGCCCGTTAAGGCGAAACTTTCGGTTTTGGCTTCTCAATAGGCTAGAACTTTTATTTCTCTCTCTCCGTCAGGGCTTTTGCTGATGATTTTCCTGATCGATCTTTGATCCGTTTTTCAGTTAGAGTTTCTCGAAGCAAAATCTGGTAACATCCTTGAAGGAAAGATAAATCGATCTATAGAAAAGAAACTCACTTTGTCTCCCCTGAAACGAGTTATTCTTTGAAAATCTCTTAAAAAATCTTGAGTTTTTTAGACATGTCAGCCGTTCCAGGCTCTGCCTTCCAACTTCAGACCAAGTCGGTCGTTCTACCTTCCCGTAACAGCCCGTCCTTGAGCCATCGAGGATGGAATGTCGCGGCTCCTTTGAGTCGCGGTACATCTTCATGCTCTGCGAAGACACGGCGTAATGCCGTGGAGAATAAATTCTTTGGGACGAGATTGCGTCAATTGGGTCCCGAAAGGCTTCATCTATGGCGATCAGACGGCCCTGGACGTTCACCAAAGCTTAGAGTCGTAGTGCGCTCGGCGTTCTCGCAGGTGCCGGAGAAGCCACTCGGTCTGTACGATCCCTCATTTGATAAAGACTCTTGTGGTGTTGGATTTGTAGCCGAGCTCTCCGGTGAAACAAGCAGGAAAACTGTAAGGCTTTTAAAAATATACCTTTTACGTTTTGGATTACGAAAGGTGGTTGATTTACTTGATTGTGCGACTGACTCTACATGGCGCTGTCCCCTTTTCCAGGTGACGGATGCGCTGGAGATGTTGATCCGAATGTCCCATAGAGGTGCATGTGGCTGCGAAACAAACACTGGTGATGGAGCCGGCATTCTTGTAGCTCTTCCTCATGGCTTCTTCAAGGAGGCACGTCATCTCTTTCTGTCTCTCTGTTAACACTGATTTTTATGATTTAACATGGTTCGGTTTTTATTGAGCACTATGGAATACTATGTCCAATTAATTTTGACCTGATTGAATTCCGTTGATTATAGTTTTCATCAGAATAGCCCTTTTTTATTGATTTTGTTGTTTGTTTTACCATTATTAGGTTGCTATGGATGTTGGGTTCGAACTACCACCACCAGGCGAGTATGCCGTTGGTATGTTCTTCTTGCCAACATCTGAGACTCGCAGGGAAGAAAGTAAAACAGTATTTACGAAGGTAATTCCTTTGCCAGTTTCGGAGGGATGTGCTTTTGCATGTACTCTGTTTTAACATTTACCAAGGGGAAGAGTTGTATTGGATAATTTATTTTTTCCTTCTCATTTATTTTGGCTTTTTCTTATAAATCTTCTTAGAACAAGATATTTATAAATTATAAGGATGAAACTACTAACAGTGAGAGTAGTCCTGTAGTTGGTTTGGATCTGGAGTTTATCTTGAGCTGACCAAGAATTAGAATTTCACATTTTTTTTGTCCATCTTCAAACTATGCACTCATTTGTTATCTGGTATGGGAATGTATAAAGATTATTGTCACCCATGTATTATTAGTTGGAACGGTCTACCCGTTAAATCTTTTAGTGAGTTAAAAACGAATCTGTAATCTTCCACGTAGCAACTTGTTTTGGGGTTTAGAAGAACCCACAGTTCCTATCTCCACTCCATTATCTATATGAGGTAAATTTCAGGCAAGAAAGCTTTGCCACTCGTCCAGAATAAGCTTCTTTTTGGGCATTTCTTTGACATTAAAGTTACAAGTTTGAACCGCTAACAGCGGTAACAGGTGGAGTATAGGGCTGGTGTTGGTTGGGAGTGAACATGTGGCTGATCTAGCAAATTTTGCTACTCGACTCTAATAAGAGACTTTTTACTACACATAGGGATATTTTAATTCTGTTGTGCATTTACATTATGTGTTTAGAAGTTGTCTTTTGACATGTGGCTGCTATCATATGCCATTTGGCAAATGATTCAAACGACTATTATTCCATGCATGTATCAAGGTTATAGACTTTCTGTGAAGGTGATTTTATGCTAGCATGCTGTGCAAAATACACACAATTTATTACTTCCTGAAAAGATTTTTATCTTCTTATATTCTTAGTTTCCTATTAATTTCTTGGTTTCTGGTGGATGGTCTTTTTCATTATGAAACTAAAAATCTAATTTATAATTTCATCTTCCTTACATTTGTTTTTGTTTAATTTTATTTCACAAATTCTCATTTTGATGTTTCTAAATAAACCTTTTGCTGGCCCACATGCAGGTTGCAGAATCTCTGGGGCATGTTGTTCTTGGGTGGCGTTCTGTTCCAACTGATAATACAGGATTGGGCAAGTCTGCTCTGCAGACAGAGCCTGTTATTGAGCAAGTATTTCTTACACCAAGTCCTAGATCAAAATCCGATTTTGAGCAACAGGTAGCTCTCTTGGTTATGTTGATTCGTTTATTTGAAATGCAGCTTAGCATCTTCAAAATTGGTTGTGCTGTTGTACTAGTAGTAGTAGCATTAGGATCATGATGATGATCTCTGAAGCATACTTTATGTTTCCATGTTTTGTTAATTGGCCCCATGTTCTTCCATTAACGGGCCTTCTCAGTTAGGAATTGTCTGAAGTAAAAATAGCTTATACAAATGTTCCCAATTATGTAATTAGGTGACTAACTGTGAGCTTTCAAACCAAGCACAACAGGAGGGGAAGGAGTAACATGTATTTAATTTTGTAATTTAATTTTTGGAGGTTGAGGACCATTCATTTGAAAAAGATTCAGAACCATCTCACAAGAAAAAAAGATAAAAGAAAATGACAACATAAGAACCATGATTCCCAGATGTGGAAACTGACATGGATTCGGATATGGGAAATTGGGATATGACTCCATTTCCTGAAAATTCCCAAACATGGATACAGGTGACGTATTCATACAATATACCTACACCATGCTTTTGCCCAATTTAATTTTCTAACATACACGATTTTATTAGTAGTATGATATATTAAAGTATAGCATTTTGCATTTAAGAGTGTTGATGCTATAGAATATATCTAGACGTGTCCAAACAGTATCTAGTGTTGGATCATGTACATAGTGTCCCATACCAGTATGCTAGGCATGTAGTATCTAAGCGTCATAGGACAGGAAAAGAAAATACAGGTTGAAACTGAATATTATTTTATTATAATTTTTTTTGAGAAAAAGGTAAAGTAATATATAATAATTATAATTTAGCCCTCCTTTCCCCATATAAAATGGAACCATATGATTATGCATCTGATACTACACTGGCAGTCTAGCTTAATTCAGGTGCTTTTCACTTTGGTTGTGTTTGCAGATGTACATATTAAGAAGGGTCTCAATGGTGGCTATCAGAGCTGCTTTAAACCTCCAGCATGGTGGAGTGAGAGACTTCTATATATGTTCTCTCTCCTCAAGGTATGCTCTCTGATAACCATTTGATATATTCTTGCCTGAGGAATTATGGTTCTTAATTTGATGGAGTTTTATGGCTGATCCTTTATACAATTCCCTTGTCTCACAGAACGATTGTTTACAAAGGTCAGCTAAAACCTGATCAGTTACAAGATTATTACTATGCAGATCTTGGCAATGAGAGGTTTACAAGCTACATGGCCCTGGTAAATATATTCCCCGTTCCCTTTGTTTTTTTCTCCACAAACTCCATACTTCAACAACGAGCAGCATGGGGAACTCGCTGGTAAAAATGGATGTAAGGTCAGAAGCAAGGTGTTCTAAGGGCATCGGAATTTGAAATGATTTCTTAACTACTCTTTTGATTACTGTTTCAATTTGGGTGCTGGATTGGATACCTTGGGTGAGTTGGTGAGAAACCTTATTATGGAGTAAACCATGTTGCAGAAACTTGATGCAGTTCTCCTCCCCATGGCCAATTACTGAGGATGAGAATTCCAGTTTGGAGGTGGAAAGGAAATTGTGTTTGGTCAAGGTAGCTTAGGTTTCTCAAAATGCATTGTATTGACTACTGATACATCCAAAGTTATATTCTTTATTAGGTGTCCTGAATGGAATTCATGTTTTTTCCCCTAAAGTTATATTCTTTATTAGGTGTCCTTCATTTCTATGAATGGAATGGATAAAACTGTGAGTAATATTATTTGGTTTATCTCATTGTTGTGCAGATACATTCCCGGTTCTCGACAAACACTTTTCCTAGCTGGGATCGTGCTCAACCCATGCGTGTCTTGGGCCACAATGGGGAGATCAACACACTTCGTGGCAACATAAATTGGTATTGACTACTTAGTTGATTGTTCAATGTCATATATTTATTTGATTATATTTATTTATTTTTCTGGATAAGCCTTGTAGTGTATAGAGATTTGGAGGTTGGTTGGTATCCTATTTAATTGGATATGGGAATGGACTAAATTCTTTATTGTGTTGAGGTGGACTTTGTCAATCTCATATTTAGGGATGGCAATTTCTCCCATAAAACTAGGGCCCCGCCCTGAATGGGGCGGATTTTCCCCGATCTTAAGCGGGGACGGGGAAAATATTCTTGCCCCGAATTGGGGACAGGGTGGGGACGGAGTTTGCATATAATTCCCCAAACTCGCCCTGAACCCAATGGCAAACTAGTAAAGTATTCATGGGTTTAGTATTAATTTCTAAAACACTTCTAAGTTACCCCCAAATTTTTAAAACCCTAGGATCCCATAATTTCATTTTTATAATACTCCCAAATTGTCATAATCCAATTCCTAAAATACCCCAAATTCCCATAACAATAAGATGTATTTTTAGGTGGTTGCATTGGGGTGGGGAAAATTCGGGGATTCCCCGTCCCTGATGGAGGGGGGGGGGGGGTGCCCCGCCCAAACCCACCCCGCCACTGTGCCCTCGCCCCTACTCATATTTGAATGCACATGGAGAATCTAGTATTTAGAAGTCACTTTCTGTAACTTACATTTGTTACATTTAATTGGTGCTAATAATTTTACTTGTTTTTTACATTCAGGATGAAGGCACGTGAAGGTCTATTGAGATGCAAGAAGCTTGGCCTGTCAAAGAATGAGATGAAGAAGCTTTTACCAATTGTTGATGCTAGCTCATCTGATTCAGGTGAGACTTTAAACTGAACATTTTCCACTGCACTTGCTAATTTGTTTCCAGAAATGCATGTATACACATTACACGACATATATTTATCTAAAAAGCATATTCTTATGTTGGAGGAGGAAGAAAGGTGCTTGTTATATATTTATATTGACAACTTAGTATTTTCTATTTTAATGCATGTGGTTCTTGCAGGAGCTTTTGACGGTGTGCTTGAGCTCTTGGTTCGAGCTGGTAGAAGTCTTCCTGAAGCTATTATGATGATGATTCCTGAAGCATGGCAAAATGACAAGAATATGGACCCAGATAGGAAAGCCTTGTATGAATACTTCTCAGCTGTTATGGAGCCATGGGATGGACCTGCCCTTATTTCATGTAGGTCACAAACTTCTAGTATTACATGGTGTCACAAATTTCTCTCTTTTTTTTTAACTGGTATGTTATAAATTTCTCTTCATGCTTGAGCTTTTACTTGATATTAAAAATTTGCAGTTACTGATGGCCGCTATCTTGGAGCCACATTGGATCGTAATGGATTGCGTCCTGGTCGCTTTTATGTTACACATAGTGGGCGAGTTATCATGGCAAGTGAGGTTGGTGTGGTAGACATTCCACCTGAGGATATCTGCAGGAAGGGAAGACTCAACCCTGGAATGATGCTTTTAGTAGATTTTGAAAAGCACATTGTTGTGGATGATGAAGCCCTGAAGCGGCAGTATTCTCTAGCAAGGCCTTATGGGGAGTGGCTGAGTAGACAGAAGATAGAGCTCAAGGACATAGTTGATTCTGTTCATGAAGCTGATAGGGTTCCACCAGCTATATCTGGATCAGTGCCGGTGAGTCCAGTTAACTTTGCCTTTCAGTCCTTTCTGGATTTTGCTTTTTGGCAAATTCTAATAGTGGTTTAATTGTATTATAATCTAGGCATCTAGCCATGATGAGAACATGGAAAACATGGGTATACATGGATTAGTGGCTCCACTGAAGGCTTTTGGGTAAGTATCTTGCACATCCTTTTTGCCTACTGTCTTTGTTTTTTTGCCATTATCTAAGACTATTTCTTTTCTTGTCTGGTGCAGTTACACAGTTGAAGCCTTGGAGATGCTATTGCTTCCCATGGCAAAAGATGCTACTGAGGCTCTTGGTTCTATGGGAAATGATACTCCATTGGCAGTGATGTCAAACAGAGAGAAGCTCACATTTGAGTATTTTAAGCAGATGTTTGCTCAGGTTACAAATCCGCCAATTGATCCAATTAGGGAGAAGATAGTGACCTCCATGGAGTGCATGATTGGACCAGAAGGAGATTTGACAGAAACCACTGAGCAACAGTGCCATCGGCTCTCACTGAAAGGGCCTCTCTTATCCATTGAAGAAATGGAAGCCATCAAAAAGATGAACTACAGAGGTTGGCGGAGCAAGGTTCTTGACATCACTTATCTTAAAAGCCGTGGTAGGAAGGGTTTGGAGGAGATGTTAGATAGGATTTGTTCTGAAGCACATGAAGCGATTAAGGAGGGTTTTACAATACTCGTGCTTTCTGACAGAGGTAACCATTTTTCCAACTCAAGAAACATTCCAGAAAATTCTCTACTTGTAGCTGTAGGGCCTCAAGGAAACTAAAGTTTTAACTATATTAGCTGTCTTATATGTTCCCTTTGATAAACCTGATATAGGATCAATCTTTAGCTTCAAAAAATTTGATATTTATTACTAACATATTGAGGCTATTTTTCATCTGTTCTAATGCAGCTTTTTCACCAAACCGTGTGGCTGTAAGTTCTCTCTTAGCTATTGGTGCTGTCCATCATCATTTGGTGGAGAAGCTTGAACGTACTCGAATTGGTTTGATAGTTGAATCTGCTGAGCCACGTGAAGTTCATCATTTCTGTACCCTAGTTGGATATGGTGCTGATGCCATATGCCCATACTTGGCCATAGAAACCATTTGGAGATTGCAGATTGATGGCAAGATCCCCCCTAAAGCTAGTGGTGAGTTCCACTCGAAGGAGGAACTGGTCAAGAAGTATTTCAAAGCAAGCAACTATGGAATGATGAAGGTTCTTGCAAAAATGGGGATATCAACGCTTGCTTCTTACAAGGGAGCCCAGATCTTTGAAGCATTGGGTCTTTCATCGGAGGTTATCCAGAAATGTTTTGCTGGGTCCCCAAGCCGAGTTGAGGGTGCAACATTTGAAATGCTTGCTCGTGATGCACTTCGACTACATGAGATGGCGTTTCCAACCCGTGCTTTGCCTCCTGGAAGTGCTGAGGCTGTTGCATTGCCCAATCCTGGGGATTATCATTGGAGAAAAGGCGGAGAAATTCACCTTAATGATCCCCTTGCTATGGCAAAGCTACAAGAGGCTGCTAGATCAAACAGTGTGGCTGCATATAGAGAGTATTCCAAGCGCATACAGGAACTCAATAAGAGCTGCAATTTGCGGGGTATGCTGAAGTTTAAAGAAGCAAAGGTGAAGGTTCCTTTGGATGAGGTGGAACCTGCTAGTGAGATTGTGAAGCGGTTCTGTACAGGGGCCATGAGTTATGGGTCAATATCACTTGAGGCTCACACCACCCTAGCAATTGCCATGAATACACTTGGGGGGAAATCAAATACAGGTGATTTTGTTTATTGATCAATACTATATACTTTGGAGCAATCTCTGTACATCTAGATTATCTGACTATTTTAAGAGTTAGAAAATAAAAGTATTTTTAGAAAACCCGGCTGTTAATATAAATATTGTATCTAAAATTCATGAGGAATTTGGGAAGTCCTAAAACAGGGGCCTATGGCATAGCTAACCTGTCATACATGGGATCATATGTTTACAACCTATACCTTACTGCTTCATGGAAAAGTTAACAAGGACTGATTGGCTTTTAGAGTCTAGGGTTCAGGGGTGAGAGGGTTCCATGTGATTCTTAATTGATTTACTTAATACATGAATATTTTCATTTATTTACTGTATGATTTTTTACTGCAGGTGAGGGAGGTGAGCAACCATCTCGGATGCAGCCTCTTCCTGATGGTTCAATGAATCCAAAGAGGAGTGCAATTAAGCAGGTTGCCAGTGGGAGATTTGGAGTTTCTAGTTATTACCTTACAAATGCAGATGAACTACAGATAAAAATGGCTCAGGTAATTGTTTGGTATTATACATGTGTACTCTGATTGCTTCCTATATTTTGTACCTTAACACTTGAGGTTCAAATTTTCCTACTTTGCACCTCTATTCCTATTGGAACAGCAGTTCCTCTTGTTTATGGGTTTATCTTCATGGGCAGATGCTGCTGAGTCTGCAAGGCACCTGTGGGTGTCTTTGCAACTGATACCTGCCTCTGGCATTTGGTGAGGTTATATAAGAACTGGAGCTTTTTTTTCTTTGTGGGTTGAATTAATTCTGAAGTTAAGGCCTGCATTTTTGTACAGGGTGCCAAGCCAGGTGAAGGAGGTGAACTTCCAGGTCACAAGGTTATTGGAGACATTGCAGTTACCAGAAACTCTACTGCTGGTGTTGGACTCATCAGTCCTCCTCCCCATCATGATATCTACTCCATTGAAGACCTTGCACAATTAATTCATGATCTCAAGGTATACATATTTAATATTCTTATTTCTTTATGGTCCTTATGATTTTATTGTTGCTTCTGTAGGTGTAATTAGACTTCCTGGTAAAGCATCAAAATAACACCCCCAACTATAACTGAGCATTTAATTGTATTCATCAGGTGTAAACCATCTAACCGCTTGTATTTCTCTGTTCCAATCTTTTCTAGAATGCTAATCCTGGGGCTCGAATCAGTGTTAAGCTGGTATCTGTAGCTGGTGTAGGAGTCATTGCTAGTGGGGTAGTGAAGGGCCATGCTGAACATGTCTTGATCTCGGGCCATGATGGAGGGACAGGAGCTTCACGTTGGACTGGTATCAAGAATGCTGGGTTACCTTGGGAGCTTGGTTTGGCTGAAACCCATCAAACCCTAGTTGCCAATGACCTTCGTGGTCGAACGATTCTCCAGACAGATGGCCAACTTAAAACTGGAAGAGATGTGGTCATTGCAGCACTTCTTGGTGCAGAGGAGTTTGGTTTCAGCACTGCCCCTCTCATAACCCTTGGTTGCATAATGATGAGGAAGTGCCACAAGAACACATGTCCAGTGGGAATTGCTACCCAAGATCCTGTTCTTCGTGAGAAGTTTGCTGGAGAGCCTGAGCATGTCATAAATTTCTTCTTTATGCTAGCTGAGGAGGTCCGAGAGATTATGTCCCAGCTAGGATTCCGAACCATCAATGAAATGGTTGGCCATTCAGATATGCTAGAAGTTGATAAAGAAGTGGTTAGCAACAATGAGAAGCTGGAGAATATTGATCTTTCTCTACTACTCAGACCTGCTGCTGACATTAGGCCAGAGGCTGCACAGTACTGTATCCAGAAACAGGATCATGGCCTAGACATGGCTTTGGACAACAAACTGATAGCTTTATCCACACCAGCTCTGGAGAAAGGTCTTCCAGTATACATCGAAGTTCCGATCCGTAATGTGAACCGTGCTGTTGGAACTATGCTGAGCCATGAAGTCACTAAACGCTACCACATGGCAGGTCTTCCTGCAGATACCATCCACATCAAGCTCGGTGGAAGTGCTGGTCAGAGTCTTGGAGCATTCCTCTGTCCTGGTATCACACTTGAGCTTGAAGGTGACAGCAATGACTATGTTGGAAAAGGATTATCAGGTGGAAAAATTGTAGTCTATCCTCCAAGAGAAAGCCAGTTTGATCCAAAGGAGAACATTGTGATTGGCAATGTGGCTCTTTATGGTGCAACAAGTGGGGAAGGATATTTCAATGGGATGGCAGCTGAGAGATTCTGTGTGCGTAATTCAGGGGCCAAGGCAGTTGTTGAAGGAGTGGGTGATCATGGGTGTGAATACATGACAGGTGGGACAGTTGTTGTTCTTGGTAAAACTGGGAGGAATTTTGCTGCCGGTATGAGTGGTGGGATTGCCTATGTTCTTGATGTTGATGGGAAGTTCCAATCTCGATGCAATCTTGAACTGGTAGATCTTGATAAAGTTGAAGATGAAGAGGATATTATGACATTAAGAATGATGATACAACAACATCAGCGCCATACAAACAGTGAGTTAGCTAGAGAAGTCCTTGCCAACTTTGAGAATCTTCTACCAAAGTTTATTAAGGTAGTCCCTAGAGATTATAAGCGGGTTCTTGCAAACCTAAGGGCAGAACAAGCTGCCAAAGATGCCAAGGAACGGGCTGCCAAAGAAGCTGAGGAACAAGAAGAAGCAGAGTTGATGGAGAAGGATGCTTTTGAAGAACTTAAGAAGTTGGCAGCAGCATCCTTGAATGATAAAGCAAGTCAGGTAGCTTAATTTTTTATTCAGCTTTCTGCAATTTTCCTTGTTTCTTACTTGATTACAATTTGTTCTTTTAATATATAGTAGATTATCCTGCATGTAAAATGGATATCCTGATCTTACCAGACAGAATGTCTTGGATGTTTTTGTAGTGGAAATATCACAAGTTTATCTTCTTCATTTTATAGAGCTTTTTTTTTGTTCAGCTTTGATGTGCTTGAGCTAAACTGTTATTGCCCGAGTCAAAAGTGGCAGGTAGCGTTGTTTAATCTTAAAAGATGTTATTGACCTTTTCCTTTGTTATTGCACTATAATGTTGCTCATTCAAGTTAGCATGGCTTGAGTGTTGTTACCTTTTTCTTTAATGCAAAGTACTACTCTGTTGACTTTGGAGATGTATGAAAATATGCATAAAAGGAAGCCATGAAAAAGAAGTTGCCATGCAATGTGACCATAGGCACCAGAACAAAGCAAAACATATAGTAAGAGGCACTTCCTTGAAATCCTTGTGACGATCAATTATGACTATGCCTTAAGATGACTTTGACCGAAAATGCTCAACTTTTATTGTTGTGATGTTTCTTTCACCCCAGATCACCAAAATGGTTACCTGAAAGGATGCTCAATAAACTTTTATATTTGTCATTCTGTTCAATTAAATTCCAATTTGTTAACCTTCAAATAATATTCTTTTTCTGGTAAAGTTTTTTTTTTTTTTTTTTTGGTAAAGGTTTTTGTAGTTTTCAAACCTCTAGCCATTTGCTTCATTCAACGAAAGTTCAGTTGTTTACATATAATCAATGTTATTTATGGAATGTTTATTTTTGTTTCTAGAGAGCCAGCAGCCTTCAGTTTAGTAAAAAAATTGCAATGTTCTCTTTGGAAACTGTGTAAACTCTTACTTGTTATGAACCTGTTATAGATTAAAGCTTGTCTTATTTACTTGTTTGTCAATAGTCTAAAAGGAGTTTGGGGTATTTGCAGAAGGTGGAAAAGGCAGTACAATTGAAGAGGCCAACTAAGGTTGACAATGCCATCAAGAATGGAGGCTTTATTGCTTATGAACGAGAAAGCATTTCATACAGAGATCCTTCTAATCGGATTAGTGACTGGAAGGAGGTTATGGAAGAGCCAAAACCAGGCCCACTTTTAAACACCCAATCGGCTCGTTGCATGGACTGTGGAACTCCCTTCTGCCATCAGGTAGCAACGGCTTGCATATATAGCCAAAGTTCAAATTATTATTATATCCCCTTTAGCTTGTTAGGCAACAGTCTTGTCTTGCCCAAAGTGTTCACTTGTTGCTTCTCGTATACAGGAGAATTCTGGTTGTCCTCTTGGGAATAAGATACCGGAGTTCAATGAATTGGTGTACCAAAATAGGTGGCGTGAAGCATTGGATCGACTTCTAGAGACAAATAACTTCCCAGAGTTTACTGGTAGAGTGTGCCCAGCACCTTGTGAAGGTTCTTGTGTACTTGGTATAATAGAGAACCCCGTATCCATCAAAAGCATAGAGTGCACCATCATCGACAAGGCCTTCAAGGAAGGGTGGATGGTGCCACGACCACCCCTTAGAAGAACTGGGTATGCCTTCCTCTTCTAGTCATGGAAATATCGATATTCTCAATATCCATAAAAAAATGGAAATATCATCTATTGCTTGGTTTATTTCCTATGATACCGATATTCTCAATATCCATATCTGCCAAATTTGAGGCACTCTTGCAATTTTCCTTTTTTTTTATACCGTTACACTTTTTCATGATGATATTATTGTTTATAGGCACATCTTCTATTTTTCACAAATATCTGAATGGAAAATCAACTCGTATCTCTAAATGCAGGAAGAGAGTTGCTATTGTGGGTAGTGGACCAGCGGGCTTGGCTGCTGCAGACCAGTTAAATAAAATGGGCCATTTAGTGACAGTGCTTGAACGTGCCGACCGGATTGGAGGACTAATGATGTATGGAGTTCCCAATATGAAGGCTGACAAGGTGGACGTTGTTCAAAGGCGTGTCAATCTTATGGCTGAAGAAGGTGTCAATTTTGTGGTGAATGCTAATGTTGGAACAGATCCATTGTACTCCATTGATCGGCTTCGTGCAGAGCATGATGCTATTGTTTTGGCCTTAGGAGCTACAAAACCAAGGTAAAATCACAATTCTAACCATTATCAAGATAGCTAGGCTATGGTGATAACACATTGAAGATCTCTTATAATTGTGGTCTTGCAGAGATCTTCCTGTTCCAGGACGGGAGCTGAAGGGAGTCCATTTTGCCATGGACTTTCTTCATGCAAACACCAAAAGCTTGCTTGACAGTAATCTCCAGGATGGGAACATCATATCTGCTAAGGGGAAGAAAGTGGTGGTCATAGGAGGTGGTGACACTGGTACAGACTGCATAGGGACATCCATTCGCCATGGTTGTACCAACATCATAAATCTTGAGCTTCTTCCACAGCCACCGCAGACTAGGGCTCCGGGCAACCCTTGGCCACAGGTTCGTCACTTTCCTATATTCTTCTTAACAGCCAAACGTATTTAGTTGATAACAAAATTAATCTATTGAAAAAAATTAAAATTATTAAAAGGAGCTCAAGCCTTGAGGCTTATAGGGTCTCTATGCAATCTCTGGCTTATAGATCCTTTATCTATTGAGCTTGTTGTTGTCTTCCTAGATGACTGTCTAACTAATTAATACTTCGTTTTTTTTGGTCGTTTTTAGTGGCCTCGCATATTCCGTGTAGATTATGGACACCAGGAAGCAGCTACCAAATTCGGGAAAGATCCAAGGTCCTATGAGGTATTGACGAAGCGGTTTTTGGGAGATGAGAATGGAGCAGTGAAAGGACTTGAGGTGGTTCGAGTTCGCTGGGAAAAGGATGAAAGTGGAAGGTTCCAATTCAAGGAAATTGAGGGCTCTGAGGAGATAATTGAAGCTGACCTGGTTCTCCTTGCCATGGGTTTCCTTGGTCCTGAGTCGGTAAGTACACTTACTTTTTGTGCATCTTATAATTAATTAGGGGGTTCGACTATGATATGGGAAAAATAACTAACCAATAAATTGAAATCACAAACGTGGAAGCAAATAAGGTGTTTATTTATCAAAATTCATGGGTGGGTTTTGATTGGTCAAAACTCTTTCCATATCATATCTTTTCTACATATTTTGATTAGAGGGATGATATATACCAAGGTGCCTCATACCCTAAAAGTAGGTAATGTATACCAGAGGCACTGAATTGGGGGAGGTACGCACCTTGGTGTTGCTTTGCTTCGCCAAAATGATCTGTTTTTCTGATCCTTGTTGAGTTAGGCTTTTGGAAATCGCATTTCATTAATGCTTTACCAGTTAAAAGAGACTCGCCCAGCTGCGTCCTGTGTACCGGGGACTTACCCATGTTTGTATTGATTAATGTTTCCAGACAATTGCGGACCGGCTAGGCTTGGAAAAAGACAACCGGTCAAACTTGAAAGCAGACTATGGAAAATTCTCAACTAATGTTGAAGGGGTCTTTGCTGCCGGGGACTGCAGACGTGGACAATCACTGGTGGTCTGGGCAATCTCGGAGGGGCGACAAGCCGCGGCTCAGGTGGACACGTACCTGATGAGAGATAGCGACCCCGGCACAAGTGATAGCCAGGACGTCCAGAAACAACAAGACAGCAGTCGACTCACTCTAATGACATAGGCGACCTCTCTGCTCTGGTTCGGTTCTTACTTTTCAGATCGATCAAGGAAAGAAGAAATTTGATTATACATGGATTGCCTGTTGAGTGGGCCTTTAGGGGGCGTGCCGATAAAGTGGCATTCAGGTGGTTTTTATGTCTCTTGGAACTGAGAAGAGGTGGCATTGTGGGGGGTGTTGGTATTTTGTTGCGTTTAGTCTTTTTATGTTTTATTTAATCCCCTCCAATTCTTAGGGAAAGTCGTAATGCTTTTGCTATATTTTACATGAAATAATGTACAGTTCGTTTTGTTTGGCCTATTTATAAATTATATATGGCTAAGTTTTTTCTTTTTTAATCTTTTATCCCTTAAGTGGGGAAAAAATGCTGTGGTTGCTTAGACATTTTCCTTGTCAAATGGGCTGGTAAATGGTAATGAAGAAGAAAAACACTTTAGACACACAGCGTTTGGCAGGTATCGCAAAATCTCTAACAAAACCCCCACCCTTGCAGGAGACGATTACAAACCACGTACTTCTTTTGCGGCAACAGAAATTTATGCAACGCTCGGTAACCATTGAATACCATGAAAAACATGTCTCGTGGCTATGCAGTAATGCTTCACAATTTTCATATAGCAACTATGTGTTGCCTGAAAAGATTGGGTTAAGATGCTTTTATCTCTAATATAAGTTGGGTAAAATTTTTGAAGATTGCAACATTAAACTGAACCAGCTAGTTCATCGGATGCTTGAAGATGGATGCACTCGTATGAATCCTTCATTCTCATATTTCACCGAGATTTCACCCCCCCCATTAAACCATATTTCACAAATTACAATGAGTTTAGGCATGAAGCTTCCCAGTACATTGATCTCACTACTCGTTTATGCATGCAAGGCAGGGACACTGACCTCCCGATTTAACTTCGCATTCTTTCCTACCCCACGACAAGGGTTTCTTTCTTTTCTTTTTTAAATCGTGCCCAATGATTTTGCACCGAACGGAACGGAATGGTGACTTTTTTTTTTTAATCTTTGAAGCTCAGTTTGGAAAGAGTACAAATGCATACAAATTACAAGATTTTGCACTGTATATATTTGTATTTACTCCTTCCAAACTGAGCCTTAATAAAAGAATATCGCTACTGATGCTTCGTGGCTTCGTGCTGCCAACAATCCACTGCGGCACTGCCTATATTCCCACAGAAACGAGTTACCACCTCGTCAACCTGGGCTCTTACGTATTGGGTTCTCTCAAAGCCGGACTCAACTATCCATGCCACAATGATTACACCACAAACAACGAGAGAATCAAGTTGGAAACGGACATGTATCACAATACACTTCAAAAAAAATATAAGTTGGTGGATTGATACGTATGAATGCCCTTGGACAACTCTCATAAATAATAATAATACTATATAGATTGAAATAATTCTCAATTAAGTATAAATACATATTTTATATTAAGAAATATATTACAATCAATTAGGAGATCACATAGGTCACATAGATATCATACAACTTTACAATTACTACACGAAAAAAGCTATAAATATGTTATTATTTATTTGTATTATTAATTAATAATTACAGAAAGATATAAATAATCTAAAAATATATATTGGATTCGTGAGAATGTAGATCCAAATCACAAATCATATGCAACTATTATATTTTAATTACTAAATCAATTATTTTCTATTTTGTTATTTTTACTTTGAATATTAGCAAAAAATAAGTCTAATTTAATTTTAAATTCTTATATATTTTATAAATAATATTTCATTTTTATAAATAAGAAATATGGGGGTCTGATTATGATAACAAAAAAAACATGATACTGGAAAAACTTGTTACTAATGAACCAATATCATAAAAGTGGTAAACAATCAGATGGTATTTATCAAAATTCACAAAGGGTTTTTGACTGGTCAAAGCTCTTCTGGCATCATAGATTTTCCCTAAATTAATTATTAATAATTTATAGAAACATATAATCTTAATTTAAAAATATACTAGGCCCATTAGAATTTCCAAGTACCATATGCAAATACATGAAATTATATTACTAAATTAATTATTCTATTCTAAGCATTTTTATTTTTATAAATTACCAAAAAATTAAAATTTTTTTTTGAGAGATATTGATTAATGGATTTGATAGATCATTCATATTAATGTTTATAAAATACTGATTCTAATGATCATTTTCTTTTAAGTTTTGGTTGAACATTAATACATAACATTCTGATATGGACCAGCTGATGCAAACATTACATATGGGCACAGGAGGAATTGTATTAAATATCATTCCCCCGTATCGGTTTGTATTGCATCAATACCTTGAACATTGCGGAGAATTACATCATTTCTTACTACTTCAACCTATGTTCCTTTTGGCATGCCCCTATCCCTTCCAAAGTCCATACCCATCTACCTACAACAAATCCTCTTCTCACTGATACTTCATATGGCCTTCTTTGCACATGGCCACATCATCTTGGTCTGTTTTCCCTCTTATTTTACCACCTATAGGAATTACTCTTAAATTTCAACTCCCTAATTTCCAATGTTTTAAAACTTTCACTGTTCTACAACATTTGTCCACAATATAACACAATTTATACCTCCATTTGTCCATCCTGCTCTAATTCTTTGGGTGACATCCTCCTCAATCTCTCACTTTACTGAATTCTCTATCAATGTTGTGAATAAAAAGGGAATTACAAATTTACCATTGCTTATCCTAACTATTTGGGTTTTGGAAGAGATGGACCGGATATAGATCCAAGTTCTAAGCCTTGGCATTTTTTTAATCACTCTCGGGCTCAAACCCACTTTCTCATGCTTCCAGCCCATGTTCTCATGATGCTTAGGAAGAACAATAAACCCAAGTGTGAAGACTTTCAAATAGTTCAACTTCACTTCATATTAGTTTACTTGGTCATCTCAACCTCAAAATTAATTGCACAGCTTCCTTTTCTTTTTATTTTGATGAATTTGCACAGCCTCCAATTGCTACATAGTCTAAACTCGATTATAAAGGTTATTACCTTTGCATTTTTTTTTTTCATAAAGTGGCCACTTTCAAAAAAAGCCATGTTCTTGTGCTTGTTAGATCAAGATTTTACCATTATACCAAGCAAAGGCCCCTTAGTCCAAACTAGTATAGAGTGATAATTTCCAGATTAAAATAAAAAATGGATTCAGATGCTGTAATCGCATATATGTTTTTAATTTTATCCTTTTCTTTATTTATCAAAGTTCTCAGCTAATCCACCATTTCCTCAAACATGAAATTACAGAATCACTCATAAAAGTGAAATGTTTGATATTTCTTAAAAGAAGCATAAAAGGAAACAACAAAACCAACATACCATCCCTTCTTGCAGTGCATGCCAAAATTATCAGAAGCACCCACCCAACTGCAAACAGAGGATGATAATCAGGAACAAGTAAAGAGGAACATAAATCCAATCATGAGTCAGATTAGTACTAAAACAACATGCTTCTGAATTATCTATGCATGGTGCACATTAAGGGGAAGTCTTGGTGATTCTATTGGTGAACAAATGGTTCCAACCAGATGCTAAAGAGGTAGATTAAGACTGTTCAAACAGCTCGTTTGCCAGATGCTTGGGGTCGTCTAATCAAGCTGATGTCTGAGTTACAACAAATCTAAAAGGTAGCATGGTGATTAAATAGCTTTCCCTCGTATTGGCAGAGGCTGAGGGTGTTAGTTTGAGACGTATTTCACTACAACAAAGTAACTTCCGCAAACCAAATCATTATGGATGAGGTTTTCCAATATTCACTACTTAGTAGAAGAATAGGGATCTTTTTTATTCAATGCTTAGTACAGCTTTCTCTGAATGAAATTGTAGTAAGACATGGCCAATTGATGTGGTTATGACACAGCTGATGGACAAGGTCTTATTGCATGGCCAATCTAGACAGTTCATCTAACTTGCAAGTCGCAACCCTCTGGATTGGCAATGCTAATGAGTACATAATCATGCCCTGTCAGCCCTGTAGCTTGCCTTCAATGAACTATCTTCCCAAATGAATAACAGCCTCTGAGACTTCCAAATAAAAGACTGGCAAGAAAGGGAGACTTTGGCCATGTAAAGGAGAGGTATGTGAGTTGATGGATCCACATAAAGAGATGGTAATGTGGCACAAAAATCAACAACATATTAGGCTGCAAGGTTCATTTATGGCCCGGAAAATAGAATGGTCACTCTAACTCCTTGCTAGACTTTGCCTTCCAGAAAACCCATTTTCATGTTACAATTGATCAGTGATTAATTAGGAAAGAGGTTCTACAAACCAAAATAGCCTCAATCTCCCTGTCGGACACTGGTGTGCGTTTTGGCTGAAGGGAAGCTTTCCCTCCTACACCAGTGTTAGTTGGTGCAGCTGGAATTTTTGCCCCTGAAAAGAAAGTCTGATGGGCATCACTGGAAGCCAATGCTGCTTGTGGTTGGGATGCAGAACCTACACATTGATTACCATGATAGTCAATAAATGTTACAATAATGATAAATACTTAATTGAATGGGAAATAGATAATAACTTGGTATTCACAAAGGATAGGATCAAGGTTGTAACTTTTTCTTTTATTAAAAGGATATAAATAGGTCCATTAGGGGCCATTGCTTGGTGTAATGATAAAATTTCAGCCTGGCAAGTGTGAGAAAACGGGATTGAGTCTGAGAGTTGCCACTTCGTGCCAAAAAAATGCCAAAGTTAGGACCATATCCAATCTAGATTAGCTGGGACCAACATTGGGTAATGTCCGTTTTTATATAGATAGGTCCATTAACCTACCATTCCCCCCAAACCTATGTTCTCCTCTTAACCTACTTTTCTTTCTGCCAAATCCTTTCTTCTTTATTATTATTGGGGAAAGTGTTCTATCCACTAACTCATCAAAAAAAAAAAAAGTATTCTATCCACACTAATTGATACAAGTTTGGGTGACATCTTCTGCTGGTAAAAAGTGGTGGTGGCACCGTGGCACTACAATGGAAGAACCAGATGAGGCTATTTGGCGAAAGGTAATTAACAATATCATTACAATCCAACTACCGACCAGAATAAAGTGCAATGCTTGTCAACTTCTTTTACTTTTACTGTTCCTTTCACACCATAAGCTAATACCTTCTATTAATAATGATTCCTATATTTCCCCATAGAGCATTTCTACATGGAAACTACATTGGTTCAGTCATCTGAACTCTTGCACATGTAACTTTGACATGACTTATTTATCTCAATACATGTTCCACCATACATTATTCTTAAAGTCGTAACAACAATTTCCATGTTCCATCCCAAGTGTTGTACGAGTAACAATAGGTCTTTTTTCTATACTATGTAAGGAAACCTTCTGTCAATCTGTTAAAGTTCTACAGGTTAAAAGTAAAACAAGATGATTTGACACATTCCACCAGTTCCAGATGAGATTTGGTACCAGAGATTAGCCCTACATCTAGGGGGTTCAAATCTAGGAGAAAGGCTACCTTGAGCAGATTAAAGGCTGCCCCAGAAAGAAGCACCCGGAGCAAAGTAAGAGCTACTGTGGAAGGGTTACCCACCACTGCAGTGAGAGCCATCAATGAAAGGGCTAGTTGCCACTAGAGTGAGAACCACCAATATACTGACTACAGAGCACGACCGCATGTTTTGGTCCTAAGGATTAAAATAGCCTGACTTCACACTTCTTGAAGGTTCACTAAGTGGCATGCACTTAAACCTTTTTTTGGAAGGCCGCATGCAATTAACTTGATTGTTTATATTATAAACCAATTACAGTTTGCGCACACACACACAAAAAAATAAAAAAATAAAGAAAGTTAGAAACTGCCCAGGGGAAAAACCAGAGTACAAATTTGTTACAGCCTTCTTTTTTTTAAGACGAAGAACAAAATCCAGAAGTGTAAAACAAACGTATCTCTGCACAACGATAACAATCTTTAGGTTAACCCTTGCAAAAAGGTAGAAGGTGAACATGATTTGACCAATTAGTAGTATCTGAGTTGAACCCATATGAGCATCTCACCGCTTTGGCAGTACTAAGATTTCCTATTTAGAGAGAAAACAGAAGAATAAAGAAAGAAAAGAAATAAACCCTGAATTTATTCATCTAGCAAGCATATATATTCAATCAACTTGACCCATTTAATGAAACCCTAGATGTTCTCCAACCAGATAAGTAAGACAATATATTAGAATAAGATTGTTTAAATTTCAAGAATAATCAAACCCAAATATTGGATAAAGAAACATCATTCACAGATCAACTCGTAAAGAGAGAGATTACAGACCGGAGGGTTTTGGATGCCTTTGTGGAAATTTAATGCGAGGAATTCGCTTAATCAACTGTTCTCCTGCCATTTCTTCTGGTTCTTTCTATGGCTGCAGCAGCGCGTATCGGGTATGAGAAATGAGTCAAATGACAACAGGGTTGAAAGAAATAATGAACGGCTCAACCAAGCCCAAAATCCGACCCGTTCTCTTAAACGGGTTGGGCCGGGATTTTCACCGTCGGATAAACTGGGTCCCATAATTAGGGCCTATTTACGCTTGGTAGCTCTGCGCTTGCTGTTGAGATTTGAGAGGTAGTTCTACTGTCCCAGGCTTTCTTCATCTCTCTCTCAAGGTCTGTTCCCTGTTCATCATCAATGGCGGAACAGGAGATAGCCGCGGAAGTAAATGCGGATCAGTCAAGAAACGTTCAAATGGAGAAGCAAATTGCAATTGCAGTACTGGGAAAAGAACTTTCCCAGCACGCAAAAATCACGGGCTGTCTTTGAAATCTCAGTTGAGCCGGACCCAGAAGCGGAGGAGGTTGTAAGAAGAACTGTTAGAGGAAGGATCTTCCCACGCATTCGGGTCAGTATCAAGAATGTTAAGAACTTCGTTAGAAACGTCTGGGAACCAGTGAATCCAGTTCGGGTGGGCCGCGATGACAGCGGAGGCTGGGAATTCACTTTTGATAGCAAAGAGGATGTGGCTAAGGTGTTAAACGGTGGCCCCTGGTTTATTCGTTCTAGCTGGATGCTGGTGGCGGAATGGCAAGACGCCAAGTCGGAGGAGAAGGCGAAGTTGTGGCACCAGAAGCTATGGGTTCAGTTACACGACATACCTAGATCATACATCTCGGATGGGTACTGCAAGCTCTTTGCAAGTGCAGCAGGAGGGTACTAGAGGAAAACGAAGAAAACCAACCGGGAAACCCTAACGGAGGCCGAATGGTTCGTCTGAGACTTGAGATTGATCTTCGGAGATCTCTTTTTAGAGGTCTCGTCTTGATTACTGAAAACGGTCTGGTCTGGATCCGATTCACTTATGAAAATCTTACAAAACTCTGTATTCACTGCGGTGTAGTTGAACACTCGTGGAAGAAATGCAAGCAAAGCATCCCGGGCACTGATCATGAAGCAATATTGAAAGAGTTCGAAGACAGAAAAGTTGATGCCCCCGGCGATTGGTTGAGAGCAGAACATAAACCTGATCGCCGCCCTCTCAAGTATCCTGAGTTCAAAAAGAACGCTTCACCTTGTAAGCAACTCCAGTTCGTGCAACAACAACGATACTCTAGTTCAGATGAAGATCCTGGAGAAGAGGAAGAAGACGGCATTCAAGAAAAACGCCAATGCACCTCGGAAAGCTCTCTGCAACTGCAAGCCATCAAATCTCATAGCAAGGAGAAGAAAGCAACCGAGGTGTCGGTGAACTCGGTGAATGGTCGAAGAGGAAACGGAACGAGTCAGGCAAATGACAGAATTCGGAAGAAGCGAAAGAAATCTCAAACAGATCCTTCAAATCACATCAAAGAAGATTCTGTCAGTGGCCTCGGGCAAATAATCTGGCTACTGGCGCTAAAACCTTGTCTGGAGGTGGAGGGTGTCAGCAAAATCAGAAAAGAAGGGAGGGTCTGGAGGTTGGTTTGGGCACTAGAAACTCGGAGCCAGCCCAAATCCGAATCCAAATTAAAACCCGATTGCGTGTGAGCCGGATCCATCCCTGACCAACCCGGTGGAAGCAATGGGAGTTTTTACATCCTCAACAGCAGCAGATTGCAGCCATAACCTCTCTTGTTCTTCAGGTATTTAAAATCCTTTATTTGTTGGTTCTCTCCTTTGTAATGTTAATCTGTAATTTTATTCTCACTACTTGTAAACAAACATTTTGTCTGCAACACATTTTATGGAAACTCGAGAAAGGTTCCTTGATCGGTTCAAATCAAGGATCCAAGTGTTGATAAATTGTATTTATTTCACTTTAATGAAAACCACGTCTACTATAGTTTTGGAAAAACCTACAGTTACTTCCCTTATTTCATATTTTCATTGTCGTAAACAGTGGAGACTTTGAAATTTTACTTAGCCTTCGTTTGTTTGCAATGCAAATGCAAATGCAAATATATCTACATTATATATTTACCCATTTGTTGGTTTATAAATGTAAACATGGTTCACATTTTAAATTGTTTTTGTATTCATCCTCTTTGTTTGAAATTGGTGCAAAGCTGTGGGTCCATTATTAACTGCTCCAACTATTTTATGCTCTGGTCAAAAAGTTAATTATCCAATGAATACAAATTTATATCCAAAAAATAGATACAAAAGTGTCGAAAAATATAATTTTACTTTGATAATCATTACTTTTTTAATTTCAAACAAACGCTTGCAAACGAGGTGCATAAATACCCCGGTTCAGTGTTTGTATCACAAAACAAAGGAAAACCTATTTGTACTGTACATTATTTGCATTTGTACTCCTTCTAAACTTAAAAATAGTACAAATATGAATGTATACGGTACAAATATATACTAAATACAAAGTTTTTCACTCTACATATTTGTATTTATATTTTTTTCAAATTGTCAAATTTGGGCATCTTTTCTATATATTCAAAATGTCAAATTTGATCTCTTAAAACTTCACTTGACCTTACTAATGACTAGTGTAGGTAAGGTGGTGGCTAGATTGAGGAGGCGGTCTCTTTGAAAGACAGAGAAAGACATGTGGCTAAAGGGGATTGAATCTGAGGCTAGGGCGTTAAGCAAGAATGATAGAGTTGGGAATCAATGATGAGGATACTCGATGGCTGAATGAATTTCATTACGAGGAGGATCTCTATTTATGGAGGAAATCCCAATATTCTAAAAGGAATGAGCTAAAAGTGCTTGTTTCCTATTAGGAAAGGGAATATTAGATTTGCTGTCAATCATTAAGAGCACTACTGGGGTTTCACCATGTGTCCCTATGGGGATCTTTCCAATGATTGGTTTTCCTTTCACTTGGAGATCCTCATAACCCCCGTGTGCCACTACCTTTTGTGTGTTTTTCTTAACTGACGTGGCCACTAATGATGTCATCGTTTGGCGGATGATGTCTTATTAGACATACGTGGTGCCCTTGTCACTTTCATTCCTTTGAAGTTACGTGCGTAGGTAACATCTGGATTCAGTTCTTGGTGAATTGGGGTATTGTAGCGACTGAGAGTTTATCGCAGGGTCGAGTACGTGCGAACCTCATCGCAGATTTGACCCAGGTTTGCTTTGATTTGAGCTTAGGAATAGGTTCATCGCAAGCGTGTGATGACCTGTAGGTTTGTCGTAGTCCTACGATGTGCTGTGGATTCATCGTAAGCTTGCGATGCTCCAAAGGTTCATTGCAGAGAGAAGATTGGCTACAGATTGATCACAAGTGTCCATGTGGTATCAATGCGGTGTTTATTGTGCTTTGAGGGAGTGAGCGAGCACTACATACCTACAACTAGTTTATAAAGTAAAATTACTTTAACTTTTGAAGCCTAAATTTGAGAAAATATTTCGAGTAGTGGTGCTTGTGCAAATATTTTAGTAAATCTTTATTTGAACTAATAGACATAAGGGTAAAATAGGTATCTTCAAAAAATTAATGCATTAAACCAATCTCTTTCATATGGGACGATGGTAGAAGGGAAGTTTGTTCAAAACTAGAAGGGAGGGGTTTTTTTTTTATATTTTATCAAAAAAGAAGTATCAATAAATTGTATATTGTCTGATTCCGAACAGCCAAATATTCCGAACAGCCAAGTATCAATCTCTTTCGTATTATCAATAAATTGCATATTGGGATTTCATTCTCTCAAATTCCAAGTATTTAATGAAAAAAATGATGGGGTGGTCGACAATATGGCTGGTTTTGTTTGTTTTTGAAAACAAGAACTGTTGCATCAACAAAATTTTATGGTTTTTGTTTTTAAAAACGAAATCAACGATGTTGTTGAATACCCTGGTATATAACGTATGACATGAAACAAATAAAATGATTATTGTGTATTACCATAATTAGTTGGTCAGTCGGTCAGTGGGGACTAATTTTGGACTCCCGGGTGGAGACAAGTGACAAAGTAGAAGCTTGCTTGTGCATTAGGGATGCAATTGAGTTAGGTTGGGGTTGGAATTTGTTAACTTTTCAGTGGAGTGTACTTGGAATTCTTATTCAAGTGAGGCATTGTTTTAAAAGGCTTAAGTCTTGAGTCATGAAATATACGTCTTGATGTGAGGCGTATAGATTTTGCCTTAAGGCTTAAGCCTCACGGATTTTGATCTCTATACCAACCTAATTTAATATGTATATGCGCTGATATGGAATGTTTTGAATCATTTGACCCGGTCGGTTGAATTGGTGATCCTTGACCCGAAGGCAAAAACGGTTTAGCCTCCCTTCAGGTTGGTTTTTAAAACATTGAGTCTTACCAAAATGTCTAATAAATCAAATCCCTTTTACCCCAAACCTGGTTTTTGGTCAAAAATCATTGAAAAAGTCAATAACCCGTTGACCCGGATGGTTGAACCGTTAACCCATTCAACGGTTTTGACCGTTTTTTATTTTTAAATTTTTAATTTGTTTGTCAGAATGGGTTGTCCGATCGAATTGGACAGTCGGACCATTGACCCAGAAACCGGTGGCCAGAACGGTTCCATTTCCATGTCATTTTTTAAAACGTTATTATTTGATAAGAAGGTAAATTTGTCGATGCAAAACTAACCCAACTTTGCAATTTAGGTTGCATTTGGTTGTAATGCAAACGCAAATATGTACACTACATATTTACCCATTTTTCGGTTCATGAATGCAAACACGGTTTACATTTTAAATCATTTAAACCATTTTTGCATTCATTTTGTTTGTTTGAAATCGGTGCAAAGTGTGGGCCCATCATTAAATGCTCCAATGCCTTAACTTTGGACAAAAAGTTAAACACAAAATTGTATAAAAAAAATAGATACAGTAATGCTCTCTTCTCGGAGTTCAAAAGTGTTAGAAAATACATTTTTGCTCTAATAATCATTACTTTTTTACGTATCAAACAAATGCGAATCAAAGTACATGCCCCAATTCAGCATTTGTATCGCAAACAAAAGCCCCGATACATATCCCGGTTCAGCATTTGTATCGCAAACAAGCGGAGCCTTATATAAACCGTTTTACA